GGCAAAGATGACGGCCCGTTGGCTGATATTCTGAAAAGACGACACTAAATGACAACACTCTATTGAAAGCTCAGGAACTGAAGTGTACATCACTACTATAATATATCAACCCGTACCCCTCATGAAAAGTGTCGCCTTACTTGTTCTCTAGCTGAAGAAGATCTTTGTCAGCTGGAGAAACCACGAAACCGCTGGAGAAGCACCAATCTGAAGTAATTTCTGTCTCTACAACCGTACTTGAAGAAAGTGCAGCACTGCAACTCAATACATTCAGGTGGTGTAAAACTTTGTGTTCATGCAGCATGCAGCTCATAATTTTGAGAGGTGAGTTATATAGTTGATATCGTCGCGATTTCGTTGGAGGGGGGGGGGTGGCCGTCGGTGTCAGAAGCTAAGCTCCTCTGTGTCTGCCTTTTCTACCAATAGTGGTAAGGTTCAGGAAGATAACAACCAATACTAGAAACCGCCGCGGGTGGGCTTATCCTACGCCTACTGGTACTGGCTCGCCGGATTGCGACGATATCAACTGTGTGATGCTGCCAGCACACACATGGGTCCCGATTCCTTCCCTGCACGAGACCTGCGCAGGACAACGAAGTCAGTTGGTGCCAAAAGAGCAACACCCTATTTATCACAAACGTTTTGTATTGAATTCAAAGTCCATGGAACGAACCTTGTTGTAGAAACTGTGTATCACCGAGTTCTCGAAGTTTCTCGAGCAAGTCCCACAGTTGTGTGCTTTTCTGAAAAAAAACAATACCAACTTGGAACAATAGATTTTTAATGCAGCTATAGCGAACGTTACCTTAAACAACACATTCAAATTCACAAATTTCACAACGCGATTTTTCGTGTTTCATGAGGATAATCAGTCCCTTTCTTTAGAAATATCTGCCACACAACAAAAGTTTGGTTTTGTCCAAAAATCGCAAGTCCTGATGGCCGGGCGATGTTCAAAGCGAATTTACGGTAATAGACAGGTGTAAAAAGGCGAGCACAAAACTCATGTTGAGGCCCTCATCAGCGTCTTGTTTTTGTTTTTACCAAGCATCCCTTTCCCAGATGCGACTCCCATAGGCCTCATAAACGGACCAAACCTAAAACTGTTCCGTCTTCATTGGTTCATCTCTTCTTTTCGAAATATACGGTAGAGGAAGGGGAGCTGTAATTGACCAAGGCAGTCACAGAACTGTTCCTGACCATCCGGTCAGACTGAAGTGTCTCCGATGGCCTGACCATGAATGCCTTCAGACCTTGGAAAGCATCCCGATCACCTATTTCATTAGTCGCTATGGGCGCATTTCTTGACCTCTTTAAAAATGCATAAGAGCAAGGTGGCCTTCCTCAGAGATAGTAAGCACTTCCTCCTTGTCAGATTAGAGGCAGTTGGTACGATGGTTTCCTACCTAGCCTAAAATGCTGGTAGGGCGCTCTATAGTGGGGAAATGGCGAAAGAACGGAGTGAAACGGTCAAAATCCTGCGAAGAAAAAGCCTCCGTTCTCAGTGACTTGTAAATCGATTTCGGACGAGTTTCCCGTAGGCATCTTACCAATCACCGCTACCGAAGATACGGCTGCATATGTGTACCCATGTATGCATGCAGCATCACGGCCGCTTCATACAACTTCACTCCATAATTTGTTTAGGGGGCGAATAATGTAATAACGAGCGTCAGGAACGTCGTCATGTTGTGCGGGGGTCGTATCGGGGCGTTCGGTAAAGTTGTGGCCTTGAAGGGCCGGCTTTCAAGGCCACCTTTCCACGAGGAACCGTATGGCAGCGCGCTGCCCAAGGTCGCGTAATTCTGTCGCTGCAGGTGGTATTGATCCTAGTCCTCTTGGAGGATTTATCGTGCCAACTGCCTTTAAGGTTACTAGCTACGAATAGGACATGTTAGAAGATTCACTCAGCACGATGAACTTTTTGGCAAACATTTTTTCGGTCTGAGTACCAGTTTCTTGAAGACAAACTGTACACTCATGTCCGTGCATCTTGACACTTGCCATGTGTGAGGTGAATGGGTCCGAAGCTGCAGTAGCGTGCTTATTTTCCCGGTCAGGAGTGTACGGGAACAGGGCTGGAGAGCAGTGATACCTTGCTGGGCAGGCTCCACACGTCCGCCCGCCTGCGCTAGCCATAGCAAATCGCTACTCGTCTGCACCAATAGACTCTGAGTGCTAGGTATGTGTTTCGCTGCAGGATCTTAGTATCGATGCAACTGTTGCATACTGAGGATAGCACCGGATAAGACTACCTTTAGCTTCGTTTCCATGATTTCTGAGTGGAGAAAGTGGCACGCTATTGGATGCTGCGGATCTCTTCACGTTGGACATGAGCCGCTCTCGGAAGCGAGTGCAGTGTTTGTTTTACCGTTTTCATAGACTTTGCAGGGTGAGACATTTCATTTCACGCTCTATGAACTGCTGACATGACTTTGAGTTGAGAAAAAGCTGACCTGGTGTACATGGCGACGTCGTAGTTGATTCTCTGCTTCCGCTTTAGCCAGAAGATTTTTATCGTTGTCAACTCTGAATATAGTACGCTTTCAGTACTGTAAATGTAACAATGTTAGAATTTTTAGTTGCGATGGCAGTACAAAGGCCATAGAGAGGCTAAGAATTACATTTTTGCAAAAGCAACAATAATCTTGTTACTTGAAGGCATTGTCTACGCTCGTCTTGAGGACGGATATAGGGGCGGGAACAGTAACCCGTTCTGCGTTCCTCTAGTGCTCTCACACATTCAAGGCGATAGGAGGGGCGTAAAACTAAAGAAGGGACAACGACTGTCTGTCCCCGCCCACACGACCAGCGCGCACAGTGAATCAAAGCGACAAAATTTCCATGGATCAGAGAGTAACAATTATAAAACAAGTACTTTAGCGAGCAATGAAGTGGCATTCCACTGTGGAACTCACATGCCCTGACTGTTGAGCGTAGTGCTAGTCGACCCACGAGTGACCACCGATTTCATCATTCCACGTCGATAACCTCGAGTATTGTTTCCATCAGGATTTCTTACCAGTTCAATAATCTGGAATTTTTGCAGTTGTTACGAATACATTAGTAACGAGTCTGATTGGAAGAAATGCAAAAAAGCGAACCTTGGGCACAAAAACCAAGCAAAGTGTTAACGTGGTCGAGAAGATAATGAAGAAACATGCGAGAGCGAATGCTTCGTTTACACGCTCCTGAAAGTATTTCCTCATATGAAACTATTTCGGCAGTAAACTATAATGGATTTGGACAACCCGCTGGGTAGAGTCGCACATTTGAATGCATACCCATGCAATAAATTTTGTTCACAGGCTTCCAAATGCTTCTAACATTTCAAACATTAATCCAGCGCCAATCATTAACTGGTTGACGCTGAAGGTAATGAAGGTCAGTAACGTTACGTGGACGTATTCCAGCGCAGTGCTAAAGTGGTTCTTAGCCTTCAATTCAACCCTTATCCGTGAGAAGGAGTAGGCATGGCATTTGAAATGGCATAGAATTAGTTACTCGTGAAATATTTCAGTTTGAGACAACTGTCATCTTGTTCTGTGTTGGACAGAGACAGAACAAGACGACAGTACGTGTTAAAATGAAAATATCCCTCTAGAAGCACAGCTACAGCCACGTTCAGTTGAAGTACGCAAGCCTACCACATTTCGGATTCCGATTCTACGCGATATCTCTCTTGACTGACGTTCGTGGAGAAAGTAGTAAAATCATCGCACCGCAGTAGACGGGCTGTAACAGGTGTGCAGAAGGTTACGGGTGGTTAGCGCGAAGGCGGTGAAAGAGGAGTTTGGTGTCAGGTACGCTACACTGGCATTGGGCTCTAACTGATT